GCAGAGCCGAAAGAGGATCGAGAGTGTACATTTGACGAAGATCGCTTAAAAATGCAAACAGAAACTGATCCTCGAACTACCGTCCGAGAAACTAGTCGAGAGAAACTTCAAACAACCCATGCAAACTGTATACAAACATCTTTGAAAGCCCGGCAAAGTTACACGACTGGAAACATGGGTTGCTGGCGAGTTAAAACGATACAAAGACAGGTTTACAGTTCGTCAGGATTTACCGTTTTCTGTTGAAATAAAAATGCAAAACATTTTACCCGTCCTGTAAAACAAACATTTTTATACGACCCAAGTAACCTATTCGTTTAAATTTAATCTCCGTTCCTGTAAAGCGTCAATTACGACGTGAAATAAAAGAATTAATTACAGAAGTACAGCGTTAACTTTTCTCAATATTAAATATCTCATGAGATTTTTAAAGGTGACACGACGTTCACCAATGCGCAGTGCTTCGAGCAGCATTACAACAGCGTAATGCTCGTAAATTGCGTGTATCGATTACTTCCTGCCGATAGACTGAGCTTTATAACCTTGACCTAACCTTATAACACCTGCCTTAACCAGCTGCTCTTTTGTTCGGAGACCTCGTAAATTAATTTTCTAGAGGAAAATTCTACTCTATTTCTCGCTTATCATTTAATACATATTTAATACTAAATTCGTGCTTTCATAAATTTGCCGAGAAGTCTAACAATTTATTTCCGTTGCTCGGAATAATCCAAGTATCGTTACTTATCACTTACGTAAATCATATATTCGTTGTAAGTGTATATTGGATATTTTTATCATATCTTTAATCAAACCAATTTTCTTCAAATACCTAAACCTTTTCAGCGATTCTCAACCTTCCTCGACTCCCGAATTTATAAACAATACACATATTATTTAAACGAATTTATAAATACTTGGTAAAAGTATTTTCGCGTGGGCCGAAAAATCCAGTGGATTCTCTGGGGGTCGATTTAACCTAGGCCAAACCTCTGCAATATTTAACTAATATACGTATTTCCAATAACGCATTTATAATCGCCATATTATATTAACGCGTTCACTGCACGTAGCCCGACCCGAAATCGAGTGAAACGTGAAATTCAAAATTTCGGAAAATCCTTGGACGATAATTCACGCGGCCTTCGTAACGAATTACACCGGATTAAATGGTAAAGCACGGGAATAACCGTTCCCACGATGATAGGCGATAATTAAATAATCGCGTACAGAGTTCTGCAATAGAGAAACTCACGGACACGTAACGGGAATGAATAACGAAGATCGGCGGTGCAGCGAACGCGTTAAAACGAGATCTGCGTTTGCTCATTAACGGTAAGATTAAAGCGACAATAATCAATTACTGACTTTCCTGGTCGTCCGAGGGCACCACGGATGCTCGCATATTCGCCGTGGCCTCTTGCTGCTCCCTGATAAAGCTCCTCTGCCTCTCGGCTCGTTCCCTTCGACGTCTTAACGCCGGTGTCACGCCAACGTCCACTGAAAGCCGCAATAAATCACTTCTTTCCTGGCCCGTTCGCCGCCGATACAAGCCAGCCCGATCATTTCCCGCGTCGAACTATAATTTACTATTTACCCGGCGCGCGGTTGCGCGACACCGAGCGCTTATCGCGCGATCGTTTTCGTTCGCGCTCCGATCACACGACGGCCGAACTTTCATTTTGATTTATCGCCCGCGATACGGATCGAAACGTCCCCCGACGACAGTCACAATAAATTCTGCTCGTCACGCGTGTCATTCCTTCGCGGTTCACGCTCGCCCCGAAAATACGCCGTGCATCAATTATTTCCGTCCACCGAACCGGCGCTCGACAAGCCGAATCTTCGATTATTCCATGCATTTTATCGCGGCCGAAACCGATGCAAAATTTCCCATAGAAGCTACACAGAGGACCACCTATAACCCGGAATACACGTCCGCTCGATGGTTTTTGCGAAAAAAAAATAATTTCCGAAGCTATCGCTATTAATATTCCCCCTTTTTCCCTATTTCGGCCAGGCACGTAATTTTTGCGGAATTTTACGAAATTAGGGAATTATTCGAACGCTGTATTTCGAGGGAATTCCGTAACTCGAATATTCTGATTTTTATCGGAGCTTGCGTACGTGTGGTTTTTCGTGCACGCGGAATGTTTTTGAAAGGGTGAAATCAATGGTAAAAGTGTCGATGCTTTTTTTGGCTTTTTAAACGAGATCTCGTCGGGAAAAATTTCGACGATAAATCGATACGGCATAGTGGGAATTGAAATTGAGTGTGTACAAATTCACCCAAATCATCGTGGAACTTACACTTCTGCAATTTCATGTCGTATATTCGACTACTTGAAATTTGAATTTACTACAGGTTTTCAGAGAAAGGAAAATTTTTATGAAAAAATCTCTTCTTCCTTTGCCTCGTGTTTTTTAACGAGGTACCACCCCTTGTCCGGTTGTATGAATAAGAATGGACCACCCTGTGTACAATATCGCGTTATACAAAACGCAGTCGCAATATCTTTAATGCGTTGTAGCAAGCTGCGTTCTATGGAAGTTTACCGTAATGGGATTTAGCTGTCGATTTCCTTGTTCGTTGGAATTAAATTGGATTACCGTGTAAGTTTCGTGCAGCAAAAAGTGTGAACGCTAGATCCCTATTGTAGCCACGGAAATTTCGCGTTCCTATAAATTCCGCGATGGCAGGAACTTCGAGATCGCAAGATTCCTTGGTATCGTGAAAATAATATTTTGCAGTTATATCGAAAATATATCGCGATTAATTTGAATTTTCGATGACACGGTACGAAACAGCTGTGATTTGGAACGTGGGTAGAGAGATGGGCAGAAATGTTGCCCAGTCAGGCACATTTGCATCGATGCAAATTATTCTGTGGGTTATCATTCTTCGGGAGATACGTCGCAACATTTCATCCGTGAATTCCAAGCTTCGATGCAATCTTATAAATACTGAATGGCAGGATTTTTTCGATCGACCAGATTATTTCAACGCTATTAATCATTGTCCGATGTCCTCCTCCGGTATCGTCTTCGAGATCCCTATCTCGGCTGCAGAGCTTTACAAATCAATAACAACGGGTTCAAACACTCGTAACGCCCCCATTGAACAAGTGCATTTTATCGTGCTCGTTTCACCTGTATATAAGGCTACAGTACTCATTTCGCTCACGTGTTCCCTCTTCGATATCGATACCAGGAAATCTGCCAGTAATTACGAAAGTGGTCTAACAAGTGAAAATCAAAGAAAATTCTAGATCGAGAAGGTAAACAAAATTTCAGAAAAATAATTTCATTGCCGATTTCACAAAAGCAGAAATCCATGAAAATTCTGCACTCGGAATAGAAGAAAAATCTCAGAAAAATCTGAGGAAATTCTAGACTCAAAACGTAAGAAAAATCTAAGAAGCTTCTGAACCCAGAATCTAAGAAAAATCTCCAAAAAATGATTTTGTCACATATTTCGCGTTATATTTATTTACCTCCATGACAATGAAATTGAAATTATTTTTGGCAAAATAGGAAAAAATTGAATTATATTAAATTGAGGTTATAGTCTTATAGTCACCAGCATATTAAAAATGAAACTATCTTTTTCCATATTTACCAAAAATTTTCCAGGGAACACGTACAATCAACGTCACGAATATTTCCAGAAATTTTACGCCCACGTTGTTTCAGTTAAGCTCGTTCATATTTTAATACACAACGTGTTTACAAAAATCGTTTGCAAAAATAAAAATACTGCTGTACCTAGGTGCTCTACCTTTCGATATAGCGAGATAAAAACAATCGAACAGACCCGAAGTGAATTTACACAGGAACCTAGTCCTTCGTTATTCTATCAACGATATGAACAAACAAAAGCAAACCAACCATAAAATTCCAAGACTCCAATGATCGAGAAAACACGGGACTACCGACTGCATGCATTATTCCCACGTCGTGGACTCGCAACTTTCTGCAACCAGCGACAAACGAGCACACAGAACGAAAACGTAAACATCTCGAGCGGACTAGCGACGGCCGCGACATGGAGGTTCCGTTTCCGGCGAGCAGGGTTCACGAGCGGCGTACTTGACCCGATCGGCTTAGGTCCGAGGCGGCCGTTTTCCGCGACGGGCAAAGCGTGCTCAATCACGGCCCCCTTCGAGCGAAACTACGCTTTTCACCGGGCCTCTAGCGGCCAGCTCGCGTTCGCCGCGTGCTGCATCCGCAACGAAACGCACGGGGGAACTGGAAACCGCAAGGTCTCAGTCCCGAGAGAGGGACGATCCGTTAACGCGGAAATCGCCGCTCGTGGGCGTCGAAGTTCGTATTCATCGCGCGGTCGAATCGTTAACGAGCGGATTTGCGACGTACAGCGACTACCCGCATGCGTACACGCGCTCGACGAAAGTGAAAATGTGAAGGATCGCGTGGACGACACGGTGACCAAGTCGAGGGGGCATCCACGTGCGTGTGATCTTGCGTAATAGTGTGAGAAATGGGTCTTAACGATCGTGTCTTTTTCGCGGTAATTGTTCGTTACGCGATAGGTTACGAATGTAGTTAGAAGTTGGAATTGCTCAGTGGTGTTCAGGAATTTTAATTTTCCGCACTTGAGAGCCGATTTTTGATCGGTACTTGGAAAAGGTGTAGAAAATTAGCACCAATGATTAATTTAAATATTTAATTTATAAAATTTGGTTACCGATTTTGTAACAGGAAAGCTTCGAGTGCGAAAAATTATGACCTCGAATTCTGATGTAAATTATATTATGTAATACATGTAAAAGAATGATAAAATATTGACACTGATGTAACAGAAATGATAAGGTAGTTTAACCCTCTCAGTCGTCATTTAGCAAAATCATGAAAAATTATTGCCAATATTAAATTTAGCCAAATGGATTCTAAAACAATTCCAAATTAAAAAGTTAATTACGATTTCTAGATATGTTATTTTAAGAAATGACCTTCGAATGCAGAGGGTTAAATGAGCTTGCATTAAAAGTGTTAAAAAGGATACAAATATAACCTACATTATGTAATATGCGGGACGAAAAGATGTACAGTGGAAGAGAGAACGAATGACTCACGAATATTAACCCCTTGCTATCCGAAATTCATAATACTATTCAAAGTTTGTTTCTCCTAACCAAAAACGTATTTACATATGTTAACACATTTTCATCAAACGAGATCGTAATAAAACAGAATATATTTTACACATAAAAAATAAAATGAACCGAACGAGACGGAATATCCTGTCCAACTGATGATAAATCAGGATTGCAAAGGGTTAACGAAACGTTAAAAAATGATGGACCCCCTAAATTTCTAATTACGGAACGACGCGGGAATGTCCATGTAAAATAGTTAAAAGGAAGATGGTCTCACCTTTGTTCTCTTTGTAGCTGCCATTCAATTGAACCTCGCCGAGATGACCCTGCGAACTTTGGGAGCTGCTCGACTCGTCGTCGTCGTCGGGTAAACTCGAGTTTAACGTGTTGTTCAGGGAGCTTAGACCCAACGAGTGGTTGAGCCGCGGACTTAGGCGCGCGTTCAAGGACATCGACAAAGGAGACGTGCCGGTCGAGTGTCGCCGGGATTTTCGCCGTTCGTGCGAATCCACGAGGGACTTCCGGTTCCGCAGCGTCTTCCTGTGAACACAAAATATACTTCAATGACACACTACGTCCGTTACTGTGACCTTCCAATCGTGAATCTTTAATTTCCTACGTCGGAACAAGTTCGATACTCTATTTCTGCCGGTTTAATTGCCCAATCGTTGATTCGTACTACTTGACGTCTCACACGCTCGCCGGATACGCGATTATTGAACGAATAAGCGAGGATTTGGAGTCGGGATTAGAGCAAGAATTATGAGAGGCATGTTGTCGACGTGTTCTGGTAAAGGAAACTTGAAATTTATCGCGGTAAAACGATGATTAGGCACTTATCCAAACACGCGACCGTGGAACCGATTTCGTCCGAGAAATCCGACGCATATACTACTATAAATGAACCGAGTTCACCTACTTCGTTTCATACCGCGCCATTTTGCGAAAATTCATTATCCTGTTAGAAAACTACACTTTGAAGACACATTTTTCCATGGTTAATCCTTCGATAGTGAACACAGAGCTTGGAAACCTATACTCAAGTGTTATGTATTTGTTTGTAAATACATCTAATAATAATAGACGTTATGCAGTAACTACAATACAAGTATCGAATTAGAATAAATACTATGCATTTCTTCCATGATCTATATGACTGGTCTGCTGTTCACCTTTCAAGAATTAACTCTGAAATCCATTCTTCCAGACTCTTCGAAGATTCCACCTTATCCTCATTTCTCAAGTCCTACGAAATTCTTCTAGCTATGATTAAAACGGGATTGCAAGCGTTTAAGATACTAATAAGATTGTGAAAGGTAGAATGTAAAGGGAGAGACTTAGGTCTATACCTGATGTTATCGTCCAGCTGACGAATAGGCGAGCCTCTATCGTTCCCGTCCTCGTGATGCAGCACGGCCTCGTAGATCTGGAATTGCCTGAGTAGATCAAGATCGGTGCCTTGCTTCGACATGTACCTCTGGATGATACCCTCGATCCCCTGCTCCTCCAAACAGTCCACCTGGTCGTAATAAGTGTCCTGGTCTGGTATACCGTTCAAACACTTGTTGACCAATGTCGTCGCGTAGATCAGTAATTCCGTGTCGGCGGCGTCGTAATCCTTCAGCAGCTTCATCACGTTCGTCCAGGGTATCATGCCTCTGGACGTATCGACCGATCTAACGGCCCTGACCAGCAGCAGACTGTTCGTCTCCACGTATTCGACGAATACCAGTAACAGCTTCAGCGCAGTCTTCACCACTAATCGGAAGCGGCTGGCTATTAACGTGTATAACCACTGAACTGTCTGACCGTGTTCCATCACTCCATTCATTCCGTCTACGTACAGCATCACCTGACCGAGAGCTGTGGGAACGAGAACAAAGTATTATTAATTAATTTATTACACGATTCGAAGAAAAGAATCGGTCTTTTATAAGGAAATTCCTATTTTAGGTGGTTTTCGTGGAATTTGTGGAATCGAAGGATTTATTTTTGAAAATTGGTCAAAAATTGTCGAATTTCCTTATTACCTAGTAGACAATTGTGGTATTCATTAACGTGTCGTGATTAGAGACATAGGGAAGTACATAGTTTAGAAACTATTTCAGAAATGAAGGAAATTTGACGAGCATTTTGAGGAGTTAAATTACTCTACTAGAAGATGTCATGCGAAAATTTTGCTTGTAGGTTTGTGGTATGTTGTTTTGTAGCATAAAATACAGCGTGGCTTTCGGCTTTGAAGATACAAATTGAAATTGTCAAGAATCATGATGATTTACGAATTTCATTTAAAGACACCGAGGTATACTTTAATTTTAAACGAAAATTTCATTTTCTAATAGCGACAAATATTAAATATTTACTTGGACTATATCTTTAGAGTAACTAATCCTTCATGTACGCCAACACCATTCGAATTTTCAAGGTTTCGAATAAAAACTTTTTATATACAGTTCCTCGAGTTTTATATAAATGGAGACGACAGAAAAAGAAAAGAGAAAAGGGAAAAAACAGACATTCACATAAACGACACGAAACTAAAGGTTTATGGAAAGTTCACAAAGCCATATAAAAATCCATAGCACGACATAGAAAACAATTGTAGAGCCTCGAGTGAAATCCATATTCAACGTAAAACAATTCTATAAACAACCAAACTTTCGTACAATTCTCATCCACGGCTTGCGTCCGAAAAATCGGAAAGTTCGTGAATGAAACAAGGGGTCGCCAGAGCAACCCTAACGCTCTCATAATGCTTGCTATTCCGCGCGCGTGTACCCGCTCGCGGTTCATCAATTTCGCATGAAACATAACCTATGGGACGATGAGCCCTTTGTTTCCTCGAATAACAGAATACACCGTCTTCTTTCCGCCCCACTTTTTCATTTTTTAATCATTCTCCTTCGTCCCGTTTCGCTTTGAACTGAAAGCGGAGGAAAGAGGGTCGCCGGGATGACAGTGGACGCAAATAACCAATGAGAAATTTTCGTCGCGGTCACTGCGATAAAATCCATCAATCTCTGACCGGTTGAGATCGACTTTGGTCATTTTACCCTTCTTTTGCACCCCCGCGTGCCCCCCGCACTGTCCGCAAAATTGATTTCTTGGCCAGCTCGTGCGAGCGGATTTCGCGGGCAAATTTAATTCGCGACTCGAATCGACTTGGAATTCGTTTACGTCTGTCAAAGGAAAATCCTCGAAAAATTATGTCAATCTAAGAATTACGTATCCATTTATATATGCACTGCTTGAACTTTGGAAAAAGAGCGTGGACAAAAATTGCCAGTTTTATGGGGTTAAATTTCGTGGAAAATAAATCAGGAATGAAAATTCTAGAAATATTTCACACATGAACGTATACTCAATTTCGGAAGTACAAAGGATCGAAGGTTGTGGTAGGGAGCTTAGGTGGTTGAAAATATGAGCTTTGGTTGAAAATACGGGGGCCAAAATATGGATCCAAACCAGGATACTCTCCCCGTTTAATCCTGCAAAGTTTAGAATATACGAAGACGATAAATCAAGATTCGAGTTAAGACAGATCAAGCCAGTCGTACATTTTCTATTCGTTTTGATATGATATATCCACTTGGAGTAGAAAATCGTTCCATCAATTCCGGTTTGTCGAAACGGGGTGTATTGATTTTTGTTACGGTTTCAGAAGCTTATGAAATATCGACCTCGCGTCCATTTTATTTTTCTATGCTTCCATGTCACGCGTATATTCTAACGTGGATTCCTCAAACGAATTAAACGATTCAATCGTCATCGGGATAATCGTGTTCCGGTATATCCCTTCTCGCAATTTTCCTGCTAAAATAAGCTACTTCAGGAAACGTACAACAATCGAGGGAACTTCGGACAGAAATTCTACGCCATTAAACCCGATCACGATCAAATTGAAGAAGTTAAACCATCGGAATAAAGCTGTACCGGGAAGAAAGTCTGAAGAAACCGTGCAGACAAAGCAAACTCACGTACCACTGTTCTCCGAGTTGCTTCCTTCCAAGAAAGTCGTTATTAAAATCGACTCCTCCGTTTCGAAATTACTCTGCGCGTGTGTGGTTGTAAAAGGGAGCCGCGCAGCAGCGCCGGAAATCCGGTAAATTACGCAATAATAACTAGCCGCGAACAAATTATCAACTCGCGCAACGAACGTTACGTGGTCGTGTCAAAAGTTATAATTTACTCGGTGTATAGTCAGCACACGAGTTCTAATTGAGCGCGACGCATTGCTATGCGACAATTAGTTATCGGGTCATGGTGGTTCAACTGGTTCTTCAACGTGTGCGTGTATAATGACTATCGGAAGCGCGAGTAATGGTGGTAAACATCCCTTATCGGTGATAAATCTACCTTCGCTCGATCATCGAATAATTGCTCATTTTTCCGTCATGTTAATTAAACAGTAACATAAAAATTGAAAATTATTTCGTCTATTTCGTCAAAGAATTTCTTTTTCCAATTATCGATACGTGGATTAACCCTTTAATTGATATATCAAATTTACAATTACCCAACGATGCGTGGAATATTAATAAATAATTTTACGTCTTAATTTGCATACGATTTCTTATTTACCGTTTTAAAAATATCGTCGAATTTATACCAAAAAGTCTTCGAATTACTATTTTCCTGTAACGAAAAAATCGCCGAGTGCAAAGGGTTAAATGTCACTTACTATATCTGAAAATTTTATTTTAAGAAAAGTTGAAAATAATTGAAATATTCCTCCTGTTCCTTCCTCTTCCTTCGATAATTGAAAATAATTGAAATATTCCAATATGTTTACCCCTTGGTTGATAATTATTCATCTAGATTTTATTCAAAAATATCTATCCCGTTTCGCATAAATTTAAAGCTCTATTAGTTGTTGAAAATGAACGTAGTTCATAGTCCATAGAGAAGGAAATAGGAGAGTTCGACAAAGTACAGGGAAATAGATAAAATCTGTACAGCACAGGAAGTAAAACCCGATACGGGAAATCATAGATTAACGAAGTTCGATAATCTGCAGGACTATCTAGGATGTTCCTATAATAAAGTTCAGCGTCGACCATTTCAAGTTAGGTGCCATGGACTTTGCTGGCTGACCCTTAGCTTTCGATATCGACCGTATCGAAATTGCGGGTCTGAAAGCGGAGAAATTCGACTACTAGGACCCAGAAACGATGATTTAGGTTACCCAAGCCTGATGTCGGTATTGGGAATTCATGACCTACGAATACCCAAGCTGTTTCACGGTAACTCCCATAATCCGGAAGAATCTCGAACCTGACATTAAACCTAGCTATCCGTGAGTGACATATACAAGTAATCCTGCTAATTACACGTAAAACAGAAAATTATAAACGAGCTTACAGCCTAGTTAAATAAAACTTGCAGAAATATTCGATATCGGATTCTATATTAAATATCGAATATTGACAGCAGTTGGCAATAATCGATGAAATGCTGTAGACTCGATGGAATTTATTTCCATCGCTTCAGACTTATTTATCGTAGCTTCGAAAGCGCGGTGTCAGTGATATCCGATAATAATTATAAAAATGACAAAGTCGTAAACACAGGGAGATGTGACACGAGAAAACGTCCTGCTCCTCTGTTTATTCGTTGCCGGATTTGGGAAAAAGGAAGAATGAAAATGGCGAGACAGAGAGAAAACGAAACACACCGACGCGGAGTGTTTTATGAAAATAGAGTCGCAACGTCGTTATTCTGTTAGCTGCAAGTATCGATACTGGACAGTCATCCGAAACGCAGTGTTTCCATAAAATACCGAACTCGATTTTCCACGCTGATATTTATATACCAACGTATCGTATTAGATATCGACGTTTCATACGCGCGGAGAAAATACTGCCAGCGAAGGAAATATCTTTCATCACGCGATATAATGGCTACTCTAATTTTCGTCTATAGTCCTGATTGCAGCTAGAGTAATAGGAACATCGAAAGCATCAATATACCCCAGTGAGCTGAAATTCGACGCAGAAGAGAATGACCAATAGAATACTGCACTTCGAATAATTATTTCTAAAATATTTTTCATAGTCAGAACGCTATTTTTATTGTTAGAACATAGACATGTCTCGTAAGTTGGCACCAAGTTCGAAGAATTCTGCCACCGAAATCTCGCCTAATCTAATTCCAATAGTACCCATGGAAGGAGGGTAGAATACGATCCAAGTTGTATACATCTACAGCAAAGATCACGTCTGCAATGGGTCCCATTTAGTGCAAGGACCATCAGTGTCTCAGGGTTCGTTTGGCACAAGGACTCTGTTAGCCACGAAATCGCCCATAGCAAGGATCAGTTGCTGGTCATCTGAACCACGACGATTCTACGCGTCCTAGAGACTCAAGAAACCACCTAGCTATTGGTTTCAGTTCGCTTTTACCCAACATTCGTCGAAATCATAGAGTTCACCTGACGCTGGGTCTCCTTAGCCACAGGATTGCTAAAGACGTAAGGTCCATCTGGTGCCAGGGATCTCTTGGTCCCCGAATTGCTAAGATTCCAAACGCTACCTGATGTCTAGGTCTTCCCGACCTCAAGATTACCAAGATTCCACAGTGTAGTTAATGACAGGGTTTCTCGAGCCCTGGGATCAGCAGAGATCCTAGGCTCACCTGTCGTTAGAATTCCTTTGGTCCTATAATCGTGAACATTCCAGGATCCACTTTGTGGACGACAGGATGTTTAATTTTAGGATCATTTGAGGTTCATTCGAGGCTTCAGAATTCACACGACTGGGGGTAATAGTTCTTTCAGGAGCTCGGGGTCTTGTGTGATCACCTCTGGTGAGTCTAGTAATCTGCCAAAATGTAATACGTTCCAAATAGAATTATGTCAAACCAGA